TAGTAGTCGTCGTCGTCGTAGTCGTATGTAGCAGAAGCAGAGGCAGTAGCAGTAGCAGTAGGAGTAGCAGTAGCAGCAGTAGAAGTAGTAGTAGTAGTAGTAGTAGTAGTAGTAGTAGGATTACGAGTATAGGTAGCACAAGTAGTAGGAGTAGTAAGAGCAATGAGAGCATCAGCAACCGGACCTCCGGGTCGCTACTGTCCTTCTCATCCAGCCTCTTCTTCAGCTCCTACCCGTCACGGAGGGATCTAGGTCCGAACTGTTAAGGATGCTGCGAAGAAATGGCAGGAGGAAGGTTCTGGGTCTGACCGAACGCTGCTCTTGTCCAGCAATCGTTCGTGCTCGACAGCAAGGTGAGAAACAACTTCCTGCGGCCCTAGAACCTATGCACCACTCACTTGCAAGCCCAAGCTCGGACCTCCCGGGCTGTCCGCATTATAAGATCCCGAAGGTGTTGCAGCTTCGGAACCCTGGACTATCAGTTAAAGCATCCAGGAGATCATTGGAGCCTCACCCTTAAAGGGGGGCTAGGCCGCACAGCCGACAGCATGCTGCGCACAGAAAGGTGGTCAATTCGCAGAGCAAAAACAGAACTGACGACACAAAACAAGAATAAACAAGACCAACCCTCAAGAAGCTTGCTCAAGAAGATCTGCATGTGATGCGGCTTCCCAACCCAGTAAATGAGGATCAAGACCGTCTTGCAGATGAAGCTCACCCCTACTTACAGCACACCCAACATGAAGGCCATCCGACCTTCAACTTTGAGATGTTCTCTCGGAACTCTTCAATGTCCCAACCGATCACGACCTGCTCGCTACCCGACCGGTCGGAGCTGCTTGAAGCTTGGGAGCTGGGGGGATCATGGGAGCTCCGGGCTTCACGGCTTCTTTTCATCAGATGTGCGCCACCCAGGTTGTAAAAAAGGATGGCCTAGGGCTCGTATTGCTCGTGGACTAGGGCTCTTGCGGCTGATGGGTTGTCTCCTTGCCCCCTACACTGACGCATCGGAATCGCCCCTTCCCCCCCATCAGCCTTGACGATCTCTGTGTCCGTCTTGCCCTTCACGGCATGCTCTTTGAAAAACTCCATGATTGCATCCTGCAGGACCATTGCTATTCCGGGTCGGCCCAGGATGACAAGGCGAGACCAGGAGGTCAATGTGGAATATGCAATCCCTGGGTCAAAGGGGCTGTGAAGTCAGGATATGATCCGGGTCATCAAAGTGCCCAGTGCGCGACGAGCTGTCCTCATCCGTAGCAGTTGACGGGAGTCCCTGACAGGGGGCATTGCTCAGGTCCCAAGTATGTCACGATGCTCCAAAGCCCAAAACTCCAAGAAGCACGGGTTTAGGGTTTAGGGCTCTAAACCCTGGCCCTAAACCCCAAAGCCTAGAGCGCAGCCTTGACCATGATGGCAAAGTCATTCGGGGAGATCGTGCCTGAGGGTGCGGCAAGACGGACATTGATAAGGACAGTGATGATGATGATGATGATGGTGATGATGATGATGATGATGATGATGATGATGGTGGTGGTGGTGATGACGATGACGATGAAGATGAAGATTGAGATGATGATGATGATGATGATGATGATGATCATGATAATGATGATGATGGTGGTGGTGGTGATGACGATGACGATGAAGATGAACATGAACATGATGATGATGATGATGATGATGATGATGATATGACGATGACGATGACGATGACGATGACGATGACGATGACGATGACGATGACAATAACGACGAGGATGATGATGATGATGATGATGATGATGATGGTGATGATGATGGTGATGATGGTGATGATGATGGTGATGCTGGTGATGATGATGATGATGATGACGATGATGAAGATGATGACGATGATGGTGGTGATGGTGGTGATGGTCAGGATGGTCAGGATGGTCAGGATAGTGATGATGGTGATGATGGTGCTGATCACGGTGGTGGTGGTGGTGGTGGTGGTGGTGGTGGTGGTGGTGGTGGTGGTGGTGGTGGCAGCGGCGGCGGCGGCGGTGGTGGTGGTGGTTTGATTTCATGCTCATCATGACTGACCAGCATCGCCGTGCCCAAAGCTTCATCTCCGGACTTTGTCCTTTTAAACCACGACTTTCCCAGGCCCGCCCGGGCCTGCAACCCTGTTCCTCAACAGTTTAGGGCTTTAGGGTTTAGGGTTTTAGGGTTCAGGGCTTTAGGGTGGGTTTTAGGGTTTAAGGTTTAGGGCTTTCGGGCTTTAGGGTTTTAGGGTTTACGGTTTAGGGGATCTGTACGGGGTGATTCTTACCGGGTCCTGTGCTATCAACATGGCAGGGTCTCGACAACCCGAACCCTTCAACCCCCTACTCGGGCTCCCACCAGCATCCACTTTGTAATCGGTCAGGACCTGGCGTACTGAACTTGCGAAGTCTGGAGCTTCGAAGCAACTGGTCCCGGAGAACCCTGGGTCCGTAGGGCTGGTCAGAACCGGGACCTCCCACGCTCAGTTACAGAACACCGTACCCAATCCGCGCAGCGCACGGAACAGCTGAACCCTAATTCCGGAACAAGCCCGCCCCCTAGCCTGGCTGCTGTAAGCCATGACTATCAGCACGCACAAGGCTATCAGGCAGACCTGGCTGCTGCACGCGCAAAGTTGTGCAGATCCACACGGCTGCTCGAAAAAGACGAATTGCCACGAGCCACTGGACCAGCTTTCAAACGTTTGTGTTGCCGTGATTACCATGTTTGGACTGCTGCAAGTTCTGCCGCAAATGCTCAGATGCCCTCGCACATCTCATCACCAACAGTTTAACAGCTTGGACGAAGTCCAAAAACATATAAGCTCATCCTGAGGCCAACCCAATGATCGCTGCAGAGAGACGGTGTACATCGTCGGGACGATGGGACTCGTGGCCTGTGTGCAGCGTTTTACGTGGGAGGAGATTACGCCGTGGTTGACAACATGAAATACCGCCACGTCATACAATTCTGCTTGAAAAAATGTCGCCACATGCTAACTTAGGCTGGCTACATGTACGGGACCGCTAGGCCGCTAGGAACGCGTTGCAGGCAATGCCAATGAAACCGGATGGCCCGTATTTGAATCTAAAGGACCTGATTCGTCTGGGACCTCACCGAAAAAGGGATTCTGGTGCTTAGGGTTCTGGTGAGCATTAACCATACGGTTTGGGGTTCCCTGGTACCTTCTACTTTTCTACCATTACAGTATAGTGTAGTATAGCATAGTATAGTATAGCACAATATAGCATAGTGTAGCATAGCACAGCATAGCATAGTATAGTACAGTATAGTAAGTACAGTACAGTACAGTCCAGTACAGTACAGTATAGTATGTAGTCTAGTCTAGTCTAGTCTAGTCTAGTCTAGTCTAGTCTAGTCTAGTCTGGTCTAGTCTAGTCTAGTCTGGTCTAGTCTAGTCTAGTCTAGTCTAGTCTAGTCTAGTCTAGTCTAGTCTATAGTAGTTGGGAGAAGGGCAGCGGGGCTTTGGTGAGCTCGGGCTTCATGTCTCGGGGCTGCCACCTCGTCAGGGCCAGTGTTCCCCGGTGACAGCCAGAAAGTGCCGATCCACACCGCCTGGTCCCAGCTGGATGTCTTGGGGCTGAGCACTTGGACACGAAACCCTCCCGAAATCCTGAACACTAAACTTTCACTAAACTCCGACATGTAAGCTCGCAAATTAACTCATCGTTGCGGCAGGGCCGAACACGCGAGCCTCTTTACGCATGCCTGAGACTGTTGACGGGCCAGGGGTGGAGGCTGAGGTTTGTACTCTCTCGCTTCGACCACATCCAGTCTGTGGGAGAGTCTCAACATCAGGCGAAAGAGGAGGCTCCTGCTCTGCCTCACAATCCATAGATCAAGCCACGGAAGAAGGCTCTCTCGAAAAGACTTCCAAACCACTAAGACCAACATTAAAGCAGCTCAAAACGGCGTCCAGCGCGGTGAAAGCTACATGTTTCGCAGGGACACAAGTAACAAGAGTTCGCTGGGCCGCGGCTCCCGCCCTGTTTACTGCCACCTGCACGGCTCTTGCCTAATTCACTGCGAGACCGGAGCAGGAAGACAGTCCTTCAAGCGATAAGCGATGACATCAAGAAAACACCAAGCTCACAGATTCAGATACAAAGACCGGAAGCTAGGAAGGTGAGAAGCCGGAAGGCCGAGCTTGGACTGTCTTTCGGGTGGCCGTAGGGCCAAGCCAAATACCCCCCCCACCCCTCCCCAGCCACAGCTACGCAGACCCCTCTGTCCAGGTATCCTGCATTTCTCTTTCTGTTGTTCCCCTTCCTCTCTCTCCCTCTCTCCTCTCTCTCGCCTTGGCTCTCTCTCGTTCCTCGTTCTCTCGCATGCTTCTGGTTCTTCTACAGGCTCATCTTCCTCTCCGCTTCCCTGCCGTGTCTCTGCGGCCCAATTGGCCCGCCTGGTTCGTCGCTACATCGGCGCCCGAGTACTCCACGTCCGCAGACCGGAAATCCGTCTGCCGCGGGGGTCCGGTCAGGGCTCTAAAGAAAAAGGGTCTCAATAATTCGAGTTCGTTCCTTTTAACAGGTCCTACAAGGGTACTTTGGGATTCTACAACTAGAGGGCCTTAATGACTAGAATTGGTTTTGGGAGACAGTAGACTCTAATCTTTTCAGCTCAGGCCCCTCTATGACTGTCCTGGTCGCGAATTTTTGAAGCGGGGTGCGGGGGGCTATGGCGAAGAGCTTCGCACAGAACCCTTGCCATCCCTCTCTTAACTTCACGCAAGCAGCGATGCCCTACCCCTCAGAAGAAAGGCACCAACTTCGGTATGAATGCTGTCCAGACACACACTGTGATGTCAGCGACGCGTTCTGATCACACGCCGAGTAGGCCTTGCAGGGCCCTTTTCCAACATGTTTCCCAGGCCAAGTTCAGGGCTTAGGGTTCACGGGTTTGGGGTTTTTCGGCTGACGGGTTCTTGATAGATTTGGCCTCTACCGGGATGCACTGTCGGCTCTCACATGTGCAGCAAGGGATGGGCAACCTTCAATGTTCCATGATGCACCGCTTGGTTTATTCCTCGGCCCTCTCGAAGTTAGAAGAGCACTGCGCACCTTCACAAGGATGTTGATGTTGCTCCCATCGAAAATGTAGGCATTCCGCATGGAGGGACTCGCACTGTCGATTCTGGGACAGTACCTGAACGCGGCTCACGTCAGAACCGTCAGGCGATGGAAAGCACACATCAAAGCCCCTTGACTTCTATGTTCCGCAACGCCTAGATAAAGGGATGACTGCACAGATGCTCGAATGCAGCCTGCTTCGTGTGATCACGTGACGCCGTCACAAATGTGCGCACAAGTCAAGCCCGAAACCCTAAAACCTAAAACCCTGAGGCAGATGAGTCTGGAATGCTTCCGAGCGGCTTGGACGTGTAACACCAGCTTTGACACACATACTTGCCAGGAGTGCTGAAAGCACCTGGACACCCATGCAAACTAAACCCTAAACCCTAAACCCTAAACCCTAAACCCTGGGAGTACTTGTACCTGTTTTGATCGGGGAAGCAGGAGCTCCAATTTCTAACTATCGCCTCCACAGCAAGCATCAACAAAAGCAGAACACTTCCGAGAGCCCTAACTCCAGAGACTGCAGCCAAGGCGCATGACGTCTCGTTCTCACAGAGTGGCATATCCCAGGCACCGCAGGACGCCTGAAGTCGATATGCCGATTCTGTTGCGGCTTACCCGTCTTATGGGCTGAAGCTGTGCGCGATCATGTTTGAGTTTGGACGAGTTTCTGGTTGAGGTTTTCTACGGTGCAAGGCTTGAGGTGTTGAGGATCTAAGGCAGCTTCGATGGAAAGAGAGATTTGTAGAATTGTGGTTTACCTGCGTCGGAGGCACAGTGGCAGAGTATGATTATCATGTTCGCTCTAGTTGTTATACTGTCATATAATTGTACAAATATGGTGTGTATATACATATTATATATACATATTATATATACACATACATACATACATACATACATACATACATACATACATACGTACATACGTACATACGTACATACGTACATACGTACATACGTAGGCAGGTATAGGTAGGTATCAATGTACGTTGTGTATGTAAATATATGTATGTATGTATGTATGTATGTATGTATGTATGTATGTATGTATGTATGTATGTATGTATGTGCGTGCGTATGTAATGGGGCCAGGATACTTTAGTTATACTAAGGAAACCCCAAATAGTATAGGTACGTAATTAGTCAGGCCCCTATATTATGTTGTGTGAGTTGTGCGCGCGCATGATGGCTGACAGCTCAGGCCGACGCTCCCACACCGGCAGAGTTGCCGATGCCTTGGCTTCTTAGGGTGGAAGAAGGAGGAAGTGATCTAATCTACTGGCAAAAAAAAATAGAATAGGGTGTTTTGGGTTATATTATGCGATAATTATAATAAGGAGCCCCAAAATAGCACTGGTAAGTAATTAGGCCCTTGCCATAGAGGCCTTATCAGGGATTTTGCAGGTTTTGTGGAGGCACCTAGCGGCCGTATAATCAGAGTAGGGTTACATTGGATATATTGGTTCAGGGGCCAACAGCCGCGTGCTTCTTGCTGTAGCCAGGCTGCAGTTGCACATAGTTGCATCGTCGCTGTATGCCTGGCAGCAGATTTAAGTTGTAGAGCTCTCCAACTCTGCCGCAGAATGAGCTGCCAGCAACACTTCTTCAAAAACAAAGTAGCCGGCAACAAAGGCATCACAAAGACCTTTAAGACATGAAAGCCGGAGAGGCAAAGGCTAATTTTGTGCCACAGACCCTTGCCCGCGGGCCTTCGTCCAATCATCAAGATGATACCAGTCCTCAGTCAGGCTCGCTAGATTTCGCTAGGTTCAGGGCTTTACGTCATTCTTCTAAACTCGAAACCCGAAATCCTTAACCAACATCCAAACTCTGTGCCATGCGTCCCCATCGCTAGCCCTGAACCCGGACTGAAGGGCGACAGCAGCAGTGGGTATCTTTGGACTCGTAATGATGTCTCGGGCGGCTAGTTCGTTGAGATCTGTAGAATGTTCAGGCTTGGTGTTCTCCAAAGACCTAAGTCGGTTTACATAGTATGAGTATACGATTACGTATGAGCATGAATACAAGTATACTAATACATGTAAGTATCAGCATATCACAAATTTGCATTGCACTGCACTGCACTGCACTGCATTGCATTGCCTTGCATTCATTGCAAGCAAGAGCAATAGCACTAGCAACCACAATCGCGAAGGCAACGGAAATGGCATAAGCTGGAGCAGCAACAAGGGCGAAAGCAAAAGCATGGAACAGCATAGCATAGCACAGGATAGCATAGCATAGCTAGCATAGATAGCACAGCATAGCAAAGCATAGCATAGCATGACATAGGAATTATGGATCATCGGAATGAGCCGATGCGATGTTCAAGCCAGCCCCAGTTTTGGGTTGGGGGTACAAAAGGCCCCTTTTCCCGAAACCTTTTGAGATCCTTTAGTACATCTATGTCTTTACTCATTCTCCCGCAACCCTAAACCCTAAACCCTAAGCCCTAAACCCTGGAAACCCTAAACCCTGGAAACCCCTACTTGTTTATCACTCTGGCTTGGGATCCTGGGCTTCGGAACAATGGGGTGAGTCCAAACTCCTGCAGGCAATGTGGGAGCCTCAATAACTAAAACACAGTTTCGGGATATATTGTTTCGGGATATATTATACTCTAGTTATAATAAGGATCATTGAAAATAGTATTGGAAAATGTTTAGGCGCCCATAGTACTCCCGAAGTGCTGAGGGCTGATGGCTTCCCTTCTCAAAAATCCTGGACTCCGTGTACAGCATACGGGTTTAGGGTTTAGGGTTTAGGGGTATGGAGCCCAAAATGAGGCCCCGACATTCCGCAGTTAAATGGAGCCCGCCACGGCAAGTTTGCCATGGCACACAACCGATTGAAATGGGGGTTTCCGAAAATAGGGGACCCTACTATAGTACCCTAAATAATAGGATCCTTATTATAAGGACCCCTAAATAAGGTACCCCCTATTTTCGGAAACTCCCAAATCTATAGCCCCCAATTCCACACATCCCCAAGCCCAGTCTGGCAGTTATCACCACCCAGACCCCCAAAAGGATCTAAAAAATAGATCCCCTAAGGGGGTTCCTTTAAAGTACCCTTTAGTAGTTAGGGTCCCTAATTAGTGGATCTATTTTTTAGATCCTTTTGGGTGTCTGGGCACTACCCCCCAACCAAAAGTATAAACCCCACTTCAAGCAAGTACGTGCAACTACAAAGCCTACTGCTGCCCGGCGTCTGCGAGGTTGCTAGCCTCTGAGTAGATCGCCATGACAGGGACCTGTCCGAGTGGGCACGGATCGTCTTGATACCATGGGGCGTTTTCCCAAGAGCTTGATGAGGGATTTTGCGACTAACACAGAGGGTTGTTACGGGGGGATCATACGCAATACGTTTACCTTATGTTTTCGGAGAAGGATCCTACTACTTATTTGGTGTCTAGAAGTCTACATGTTCAAGTCCCCCTTCTCCCTTTTTCCGCTACGGTTTCAGGCTTCTTGGCGGCTGGGGTTACGCCGAGGAACTGACGGTCAGCTTCCGCAACTCTTGTAGCAGCGAGGATCTCAGACGTCTACTTGCGACGATAGCAGGAGCAGCAGAACCAGGCTGTGAGGCTTTGATTGCACAGAGAAAGCAAGGATTTCCGATCACCCATGCATCCGAAGGCCAGGCATGAGGCGACTTCATTACTAGAATACAACCTGAGTTTTGGGGTTTTAGGGTTTAGGGTTTAGGGTTTAGGGTTTTTCGGATATTCCATTGTGCCGTACTCGTAGTTGGGACTAGTAAGGGATACTGTTTCTGATTATTCAAGGCCCTGCTACTCGACAATAGAGGGGGGATCTCACGGCGTGCAAATGCTTCCAACGTCGGCCTTTGTTGAGTAAACACCTGCTAGGGGTTGAGCGTTTAGGGTTTTTGGACCGGTGAACTTTGCAAAACATCTGCGAGTCTCGTAAGAAACTCATAGGTATCGAAGGAGCCCAAAACCCCTCTGCTACCAAGGCTCAGACTGTTCAGACTTTACGACTGGTAGCAGTTACCGCGCCGTCCCTTTCTTCGGTGCGCGCTAGAGCCTGCAGGCACAAGTGCGCGAGAAAGATGCACATGAGGAAGCCCAAGAACTGGAAGTAGAGCACCTGTGCCGGTGACAACCCCTAACCTCCCAGGTACCTACTATATAGGGTACTAGAGCGACTAGGGCCCTATATAGTAGGTACCTGGAGGGTTAGGGAACTTTAGATTCATCAAAAGCAGAAGTGACGGAGACAGGCGACACCACAAGCATCACCGCCACGTTCACCAATGTCGTATCATATTCAACCGCACTACTGGCGCCGTAGCAACAGTATACTAGCAGAAAAAGTAAGAGTATAATCTTGAGTGCGATTCGCAAGTAGTTAGCAGTAGCAGTCGTCATCGTCATCGTCGTGGTCGTAGCAGTATGACAGTACAGAAGTGGCGGTCATCGTCATGTCAGATACTGGCACCAGCCTCAGTCACATACTGTAAGGGGCCTTAATAATTAGAATCGGATGTTGGGGTATATAAAACTATAAATGTACTAATCTAAGGAGCCTCCAAAAAAAAGTCTTGGTAATGATTTTAGGCCCCGGTAGTACTTGAGAAGTGCCAGATACCCTGGGCCATCTCGGATCTAGGGTTCTGTCGTCCAAGCTACAGAGACCCCGAGTCTCATAGCATGGTATATGGGTAGAGAACTACCCATATTATAGCATTGGCATGGTATAGTGTAGTACAGTATAGTATTGCATAGCGTAGTATAGCATAGTACGGCATAGTATAGGTGTAGTACAGTATAGTATAGTATAGTATAGATGGTACAGTACAATATAGTAGAGTAGCGTATAGCAAGGTACACTATATCGTAGAATATAGCATAGTGTTGCATCGTATCCAAAAAAGAACCGTGAAGAATCCGAGGCTTGCGCATAGCCGCTCCCCAATTCGGCGAGCTCTATCGGCCAGCAGCCCCTCCGTTGCAAAACTTCAGGATGTGAGGCTCACAGTTTACGCTTTGGGTTCGCGGCTTCGGGCACCTTCAGTTTATCCGGTGCTCAATTTTGAGCCGTACAGATGTTGCCGCATCGAGGAATGTGGGTTCCGTGCCTGCAGCTTTCAACTTCCAACATATGACAGTTTAGAATGTGTGGTACTGCTCGTGTTTACATCTGCAATATTGCATGTGGATCTGACCGGCGTTTGATTTTGGGTATGCTTGATTATAACGTAGACTAGCCCGAATTATCCCGTACAGCTGCAATTGCTCTTGTCTAGGTCGGTGTTGTTATAGTTTGGCTAGTGTCGACGCCAGTCCGCGTTGTTGCCAATTACTGCTGCTGCTGCGGCCACTGTGGCTGATGTGGCTGCTGCCGCTGCTAAACCACACCGGGGATGATACAAAGTGTCACAGTTGGTACTTCTCAAACATATTTCCAGTACTGTTACTCCTGTATCAACTATCAGACGCCTATTTTGCTTGTCGTAAGTTACCTTCATTACGCTGATTGTCAGTATCTTATTCCTACTATTTCCTAGTGCAACAGTCAACAGCTTGCACTCAAGATCATCCCTCTGCCGGGCTCCCGACTTTCGAAAACGAGGGCAGGATTTGCTGAAGGCGTGAAAGTCCTCGCAGAGTGTGAGGAGGCTGCACTCACGCGATTGACGAATATTGATGATGACTTCTGTGATGGATGGTATAGCTAACAAACTATGCTATTGCCATTACGTGTTTCACTATCATAAAGGCTTTCCACTATCGCAGGAGACGTCGGCACAAAGCCTCTTCCTGCAGGGCTTGCCCCTCTGGGGCCCTCTGCGAGACGTTGAGGGATGAGGCGGCTGAGGAGGAAGGGGGCCCTCAGCGGATTCGACCTAACATCACAGCCTGTTGCTAACGCGCAGCAGAACCAAAAACATCGCAACATGACGTCCTTGAAACCTTGAGCCTGCATCTCTGCTTGGAGGGTCCGCCCATTCCTCAGATCTGCCGCAAGAGTGACATCAAGTGCCCATGTGGATGCGGCTGTGCAAAGGACGACGGGAGCTTGGGGCCAAGCTGTCGGGCTGATGCCGCCATTTCATCATACTGCTTCTGAATGCATTTCACGCCACAGTCCTGAGGACAAGGAAGGGGGAGAAAAGGGAGCTTCCCAAAGCTCCGTGCCCTGGCCTTTGTCCACTGCGTGAAGTTATCTTTCGAGACCCACTTCTTGGCCTGCCCACGGCTGAAGGGACTGAGAAGGCTCAGCTCAGAGTGGGCCATCGCCATTCACCAACGTGACGGTTTCCACACAGCTTAGGGCTGCAAGCTCTCACAAACTGAAGCGTCTGCTGCCTCGGCCATTTGCCCACACCCGCGGGTTTCGCTACGGGGGGCTCCACAGCTCGGCTGAGCCAAAGTGCCAAGCAGGAAGACTTTACTGCTATAGTATATACCATAGAGGCCAACGTCTGTGGAGCAGAGCGGCGCCAGGAACGCGGAGCCTAGCTTTACATGTTTCATGTTCTACTCACGAGCATCATGAAGCCACGAGGTCAAGACACTTTAGGCTCTGGGGTTTGGGTTTAGGGCTTAGGGAGGTGCACCCCGGCCGCAGCTCTTTTTTGCGGCTCTTGCCGGCAACAAAATCATCTTGAAATCCCTTTGCCCGAGCTGTAGCAGGGGTCAGCTTGCCACGCCGAGCACTAAGGAACTCCGACGGCTGACAGGAACTCTGGCTAGCTTTGTCTTTGAAACCGCCCAAATGGCGATGGCCGGGAATAGTCAGCCTCTGGAGATCCCACGGATGTAAGACACTCTCCTATCAAACTCCTACACGACAAGCTCAGATTCGCCCCGTCCCTGCTGCAACTTGCCACTGACCTCGCTCTCGGAGCTTGAAAGGCAGCTTTTCCCAAGACTTCCCTGCAGAAGCCCTGCCCCTAAAGATCTGTAGCAGGAAGCTGGGACCTTCAAAATAGACGTCGGAATACTCAGGGGTTCTACAAATCCCCGTAATAATCCCTACATAATCATACCATTCGAGACTCGATGCTAGGCGCCCAGACCCTATTGTCATCACTAAGCTGCCTAAACCCTAAACCCCCAACCCTAAACGGCTCTCATAACCATGAAGCCCCCCAAACCCAAACCCTAATACTGCTCTCATAACCATGAAGCCCCCTAAACCCCAAACACTAATACGGCTCTCTTAACCATGAAGCCCCCTAAACCCCAAACCCTAATTCGGCTCTCATAGCCATGAAGCCCCCTAAACCCCAAACCCTAATGCGGCTCTCATAACCATGAAGCCCCCTTTGATTACCGCTCTTGCCGCGCCACGAACTGACGAACCATCTCCAAGGCAACCTCGGGCTGGTCCATGGGGACCATATGCCCAGCCTCATCGCAGCTTCAGAAGGGTCTCGGGTTTAGTTTTAGGGGCTTGAAGGGTTTTAGGGGGGGTTTAGGAGTTTAGGGTTTAGGGGTTTAGGGGTTTTAGGTTTAGGGTTTAGGGCTCAGGGTTTGAGGGTTTAGGGTTTAGGGTTTAAGGTTCAGGGTTTAGGGTTTACGGGTTAGGGTTCGGGGTTTAGGAGTCTTGGGGTGTGCAGTGGGCCTTTCCGGGCTCGGAAGTAGAACACTCGAACCGTAAACCCTGAAGCCTGCACTCTAAACTGTGAATCCCTAAACCCTGAACTAAACACCCTAAACCCCTAAACCCTAAATACCCTAAACCCGAAACCCTAAGCCTAACCCTTAAATTCCGAGCTCTAAACTGTGGACCCGCAGCCCTCACCCGAAGGTATAACGAGAGAGAAACAAAAATTCTACGACAGAGCCTTTGTGAACCCTCAAAGGAACGCTCACCACCCTAAGTAAACCCTACCAGAGAGCGCTTCTGAAGGAGCCCTTGATCCCTAAACCCCTAAACTCTAAACCCTAAGCCCTATGCCCTAATGCAGGGGCCGAAAAATACTAAGGAACCCCCAAGATAGTATTGGTGACTATTTAGGCCTCTATGTTTATGTTGAGCCCTTAAAGGGAACCAACAGAGCGACCTCGAAGACCTGCATGAAGCTGAGGCCATTGGAAGAGCGGAGCTTCGCCGCCTGAGTTCTGCGGCGTCGGGCTTTCTGGGTCTTTTGGGCCTCCTAGGTTTTAGGGATTAGGGCTTAGGATGTAGGGAGTGGGGGTTTTGGACTTCGGGTGTAGGGTTTAGGGTTTCTGAGGCTCCTCGTAAGGTAACAGGGAGGAAACCTTCTGCGAAATTCAACTCGTGGAAAATAGGAGCGAAAATTGCAATATTCTGATGGCGCGAACGCATCAAGTACTTGATGATGAACATCACAGTGAAAAGCATGAAGCCCTGAACCCTGCACATCCCCCGCTGCCGAGGTGCCGTGCGACCGTTCACCTTCCACTCTTCATCTTGGGCCTCCGGGCATTGGGGGTCTCGGGATGAATACTTAAGATTAGAGCTTTTGGGTTTAGCGTTTCGGATTTAGTGCTGTGGGTTTTGGGAAACCAGGTTTCGCCTGCGGCCAGGGTGCGCGTTGGGGCTGGGGATGAAGGACCGGAAGGAGCGGCAAGCAGATCATTCTAAGCAGGGCTGGATCCCCTCATCCTCCATGACCCTAAACCCTGAACGTCAGACAAGGGTCCCCCAACATCCCTGCACACGTAAACTACCATCATCAGTCTATCTGACCGGCCCCCAACTTCGAGAACGAGCCCCCGAACTCGTAGAGATCAGGGTTTAGGGTCCAGGCGGCAGGGTTCAGGCCCACTATACTAGGTTTTATCCTGTTATAGAAATCGCAGGGGGTTTGGGAAGGGGGCTTTATCGGGTTTCGGGCGGTTGTTTTTTATAACTTTTTGGTCGGATTGATTGGGTGTGCCTTTTGATCCCTTGGGGCCTTTCCAGGGCTGTGTGGCCTCTTGGGCTCTTCCAGGCCCGAAATGTGGTTGGCCGTTGTGCTGCTCAGCTGTGCCATTCTCTGCCGCCAAATCTTGCTTTCACTTCACGGCCCAACATACAACTTCCATTGCTTTCGGCTTGAGGGTTTAGGGTTTCGGGTTCAAGTCTGAAATACGGTTTCGCCTTGCGGGCATCGGGTTTAGAGTTTAGGGTCTGTGAGGGTCTTTCAAAGTCCTTGTTGAACTCCGCCGAATGCTCCCAGTCAAGCTTCTGGGTCCAGGCCTCTCCATCTCCGAGCATGAGGCTAAGGTTGCTAATATAGAATAGTTAGGATAGGGTTCCTTGTGAGGGCTCTTGCAAGGGTTCTGTAAGGAATCTATAGGCTTGTAGGGGCCTTAATGATTGTAACAAGGGGTGAGGGTATCATTATACTATGACTAGAACAAGAAACCCCGGGGCTATGAAGGTGCCACAAAGGTGTTATGAGGGTTACTACAAGGGCGCCTTAAGGGTGCGATGGGGGCGTTATGAGGCTGCCATAAGAAGGATACTTTAAGGGTTCTAGAACGGTTCTAGAAATTCCTACATGGAGTGACCTGTGTGCTCACCAAGCTGATTGGTGCCCGCAGAACCTGCGAGGGACTGAAAGGGGCGAAGTCTGTGGTCTATGTGAGTCTACCCATAGGCCCCAAAGTAGTTCCTTTTTGGGATTACCTTATAGGATTCTAAATATGAACCCGAAGAAGGACCTACTATGGGGCCCACGGGTAGGCAGAGTCTAGCCCAGGCTGCGAGGTGTGTAAGCGTATCGGCTTGGGCTCAAAAAGCTGCGTAGCCGCCTTGTTCCCCAGCCAGTTGCAGATGTAATCTACGTCACCGGCATAGATGAGCACGTCAATGCCATCTTTGAGGAGGTCCTTGAGGGCAAGAGGAGCATCTTTCGTGGGGTTGAAACTGGGTATACTGAGCACTGACACTATCGATGCCTACTTATCAGGGGCGTTCTTCTTATGATCGTCAAGGTTGGTCTCCGGACGGAACAGATTCGAAAACCCTGGATCCAAAACCCAACCCTATCAACCTTCAAGCCATGCTGAACCCTGAACCCTAAAACCCTGAAACGCTTAAAACCGAAGTCTGTGGCCCAGCCACAGGGAGCAGGCCCTGATACCTCACCAGCCAGTCTCCAGCAGCAACAAAGGACCTGCAAGGGTTCCCTTACAAGGTTTCCTTTAAGGTTTTGTCTAAGCACCTTTTTCCACCTAGCAGTTAAGGGTTTAGGGTTTAGGGTTTAGGGTGTTTAGGGCTTCTTGGCTTAGGACTTCAGGGTTTAGGGAGCAGTCATGAAGCATTGAGAGCCTGAGGCGAACAAGACCCGTATGGCGCAGTAGGTTTTGAAAGCCTGGCACTTTGTCCAAGTTTTTCCTGGAGGAGCACCCCCCACCGACATTGATGCTCGGAGTCATACCGTGAGTCTGGAAAGATCGAAGCTCATGCTACACCACATGACCTTGCTAGACCTGTGCCACTACCTCGAACAAAGAGTCATCAGAAATCCTTCGGTGAAGATCCTGAACATGAGGGCCTCTAGCTGTGGGGCTCATTGGTCGGCCAGCTTTGACTGGGTGTATCATAGGGACCAACATCGGACAAACATGAAAAAAGTCTTGCAACTCAGAGAAAACAGCTGCGCAGCAAAATGTGCTTAGATGCAGGGTTCAACACATAAATGAGCGCGATCATCGGCATCGCCGTGTTCATCAAAATGAAAGCGTTTTCAATGTCTGTACTTGTATCAAGGTCGTTGCTATTACTTTTTGACCACCGTTAGTATTCCTGCCTGTCTTGCTCTTGGTATGGTTGCATTTCGCACTAGTATGAGCACTCTTGCAATAGCTCACAGTTTTAGCCCAAGACGCAGGTCCACCGCCATGTTGCAAGAGCCCCAGGTCTTCTTCACCCCCAGCCTCCGTAACGCGGGCTCTCTGACTTCCAAAGTTGCGGGGCCTGTTCACGTTGAGATACCGGGGTTGAGAATATAAGGGCTCAGGGTTGAGGATGTAAAAGGGTTAGCGATTAAGATTTAGGATGAAGGGGCGGGTTTGATGTTTATGATTCAGATTTGGGGTTTCGCTGCTGGGGTTTGGGATGGTGTTTTGCGGATCCTGCTGTAAAATTGTAGTTTGGGGCTTCGGGTTTGGGAGTCGGGCTGACTTGATGACCCGAAACCAAAGCCTGCATGGCATACGCATCAGAGTCGTAACTAATACTGCAATGCTACAGTTGATATGGCCCGAGGAAGAACACCAATAATGACAACGGCAATGCTGAAGGCAATGGTAACAACAATAGCAGCAGCAGCAGCAGCAGCAGCAGCAGCAGCATCAGCAGCAACAAAAAAAAGCGCAGCAGAGGCAACGGCAGCAGCAACAACGGCAACGACAAAAGGCAACAGCACCAGCACCAGCCACAGCACCAGCAACAGCAGCAACCACAACCACCACCACAACAACAACCACGACCACAACCACAACGACAACAACAGCAGCGGCAGCAACAGCCACGAGGACGACGATAACGACCACGACCACGACCGCAACCGCGACCACGACCACGACGACGACAGATTCTTCAGACACGCACAACAGAACTGACACCAGACATAGGCAATTGCAATGGCCACAGGGAATGTAGTGTTGGACTGTCGCAACTAAACTCAGCAATAAACGTATGACGACTAATGAGAAACGCCTCGACCTTACATCCTTGGCCGTAAACCCTGCTCTCAAACCCCAGACTTTTGTCCTAAATCACCCCGAAATCCCGCATCCTGCAGCTGCAAACCCTCCTCTACACTGGGTTTAATCTTGAAGGTTTAGGGGGTAACACAAAACCCTAAACCCTAAAACCCTAAACCCTACAACTCCAAAACCCCAAAACCCTAAA